CATTTATGCTAATAAAGAGATTTTACAATACAAAAGTAGAAGCAGTCGATTTAATTCCATCGAAAATGCTAGTATTTTCCATAGGAATATATTGATGAGTAATAAGTTTAATGATTTCTTGAGATACCAAACCACCAAGTAAAGCGGCAATGTTTGGTAATTCTGATCCGCCAGCTCGACATCTATAAGAAATAAAAATAAAAATAAATAATCAAGTAAATAAACAACAACAACAATGATTAATATTTTTCCATTAATAAATTTTATATACATTTCATGAATATAATTATCCAAATGGTCAGGAATATTTGTAATATCACATTCTCTTAATAAATCAATGACAATTGTTTTTAATGAGTCAAATTCTGATCTAGCTTGTTCTGTATATTCACTTGAATCAATTTCAATAAAAAAAGTCTCAGCATCTATGTTATAATAAAAATTTAATTAAGGAATGAAAACTAAATGATAAAACATAGCATAGAAAATTAATTAATACCTGGATAACGATTATGAATTTCATAAAATCTATTAATTGCTCTGATCAAAATATAATAAACAATATTATTTTCAGAATCTTCCAACCATTGCTCTAAAATAAAAAGAATGATAAGTTGAATATGGATAAGTACTATCCTTTATTTCTTAATATTTTTGCCTTACTATTCTATACATAATCAACATCTTCTGTATAATAAAGATTATAATTAATTAATATTTTAAATTTGACAGATGCTCTTTCTAATTCCAATACCTAAATATATAAATTTCTTTAATTTGTATAATTGTAATTGCGTAAATAGTTGGTTATCAATAATAATTATTATTATATATTAATATATAAATTGGGCAGACACGGGTTCCTTCTGTACATGAAAAATTTGATGCAGTTGGTAGAGATTCCGTATTTTCTAACTGAGTTTTGTGTATACTCAAAATTTGATTGATGTGAGGGAGGGACTGTACAGAATATTTAATGCGAAAGCGCAAATTTACACACGGAACTTGTGTATACTCCTAATTAATTCATGCCAAAAACATTTACAAAGCCTTGGACCGAAGCAAGCATTCAAGAATATAATGGAACATAGCATTCAACTTCAATTTGTATGTTTATTTTCTTTCTCTTTCGACTATATTCTTTTGATAGGATTAATATAAGCAATTATAAAATTTACAACAAGGTAGATTAACAATATAATACATTAATATAAATATTTAAATTGTGTGCTGGCATATTTAAATGAATTGCAGGCTTATCTGTTATATACAGTGTGTTAAGAAAAAAACGACGGTTTGTAAAATATTGTTTTAATGAAAAAATAGCCAAAATTATATGATAAAAATTATACCAGAGAGAGAATTGGAGGATCTTAGATTATAACATATAAAATTTTTGAAGCATATTGTTATGTAGGTAAGCTTTAGAACAATTATCAAAGAAATTTATACAGTACATTGTATTGTTTTTCAAAATAATCAAATTCATTTTATTTCCAATTGACAAAATCTAAGAGTATGAAGGCTTAATATACATAATTGTTTATATGATTATTATGCATATCAGTTATTATTAAAAAAAAATTCCATGTTAAAATTTCAGAGACAAAATTTACCATAGTTTTAAGAAAAAGATATAAATTAGCTTTAAGAAAATTGGCAATAGCATTTCATGTCTATTTTTTTATTTATCGAGGTAATTTGATAAACTTAAACGAATTTTTTGTCACCGCTGTTTTTTTCTTAACATACTGTATGTTTTATATGGGATTACTAAATTTTTATGTGGCATTAGAAAACCATTGAAGGTTTATACGAAAAACCAAGACTTTATTCGCATAACAAATACCTATTTTGTTGGAATCCTAGAATCTTAACGAGGCGTTAGTACACAGTGAGTGTCTAGATTTAAGCGGACCTCTCGATTCAGCAGATCTGTCTGTCGATTACTAAATAATAATAATTATTTTCAGATGTTTTATATATTAATATTAATATTAACATATTTGAATCTTGATGCGACAGATGATTACTGACTAGCAATAAACCATTTATTTAAATTAATAAAAATAATTTAAAAAAAAAACAAATAGGCTTGTAAGGGACTTATAAATAAGGAGGCTATTTGTAAAAATCATTTGCAAAAAAAGTTTCTTACATAAAGAATTAGAAATAATACAACTCCATCACTTTGTACCACAAATGGACCAGGTGTTCCTGCTTATACCCAATTAATACACACCATCACTTCCATTATGACAACAACAATGCAATAGAAGTAACGCCTACAATATTCAGAACACCAACATCATTGAATAGTAGTGGTAATGATGCAAATTATCTCTCGTTTTATCAATAATTAATTCCATCTAATAATTAAACTCAATTAAAACTTTGAATATATTTGTAAAACTAAAGGTAATATACATATATATAAGAACGGTTGATGTTTTTTATGCAAGATATTTCCTTATATGTTTTTTTGGTCAAGACTGACAAGGTTTTTATAACAAAATGAAACACAGACTTTCCATTCAAACTTAACGTTAAAAAAAAAAAAAAATGATATGTATATAATGGGCATCACGTGATTTATTTGGCGTTATTACTATTCAGCCTTTCCTCTGAACTATATAGCACTAGTACAACAAATAACAACGGAAAAAATTTTGCCATATTAATATGTACAAAAATGGCGTTTTTTTGAAAATTGTTTTATAAAAAATTAATTATTTCAACGCAACCGAAATAAATTAAGTTTTGAGACGGAATATTAATTACAACAACAGTAATAGCCTAAAAGATGCTGTTAAATTTTTCCAATACTTCTTCTCGCACTGATAATTTATGACGTAATTAGTGGATAATAATAACAATGGTACACTACATAACTGAATTTTCATCACTCACTATTACTATACTTTGTGCAAAATTATTTTCCGCTTTTTCAGCAATTTTTAATTACATAGTAGTAATAATTCAATCAATGGTAAAAGGCGGGCATTTAATTCGCACTTTGTAATAATAATATAAAAAGTGTATTAAAAAATAGGGTGGTAAATAAGTTTCGCCAGCCTCAAATTTATTAACAATTGGTAATTTATTGATCGGATACAAGTTTATTTGTTTTTTATAAACAAAAAAAAATTGTGTAACTATTACTATTTAATAGAAATGCAAATAATGATCGCAATTTTTTTCAATCGAAAGCTGATACTAATATCAACACATACAATTTATTGTATTTCTTTTGATCTTTATAAAATCATAATAACATTAATGGTGGTAAAATAACTATTAAAATTTTTACATGGCTTTAATACACGCAATGCATCTTATATTAAAAAACATGGCAAAGTGAACGATCTAGTAAAAATTGATCAAAAAAAAAAACTTTGCATTTAGGAATTATTTTTAAAAAAAATTATTCCGTGATTTTATTTTCCGTTTCTTATTACTATTACTATTACTATTATAAATATGACCATCAATTCTCAGACCAGTTAAAAGTTTTTAACTCTCTTTTAAAAAATGAGAAATAATTACGACAATAACAAAATTACTGCTGATTTTTCTGGTAAATTTTAAACATTCATGAATTAAAAAAATAAAATATTGTTTGTTAATCATGCAATTCAATACTTCAGAAATTGCAAATCATTGCAATACGGGCAATTTAACTAGAATAATCCAACAACATCCACCAGTAGCGGCTCAGCAGCAATATAATATGCCGAAAATAATAGCTGGGCCAAGTGGCACTTTTACAACAGATGAAGATTTAAAAACTGAATATTTGCCATTGTTAGATAATTCATCTAGTCACAGCAACAGAAATTATGGAAATATGTCAACATCAGAAGTAGAAGATGTTTTCATACCGATTGAAGACAATTGCCAGTTTCCAAGATCAGAGATAAATGCTTGTTGTCCATATTTGTTTTGTGGTGTGTTATCATCAAGTATAAAAGAGTTTAAAGACGCTATTATGAATATATGGCTATATTATTATAGTGGCATATTTTTCCTGTTAAATATAATCCACGGAATTTCTTTCGGTAATAATAATAGTAATACATATTAATATTGAGTTTGCTCAATCAGAGTACGTTTAATAATTGAAGTTTTTAAAAAACAAATTAGGGATAGCAATATTTCCTCATACGCACCATCACCATAACAACGAGGATGAATTTGGAGAATATAAATATATTGGCATGGCGATGTTTTTTATCAGGTAAGTTATACGTTCACTTTTGATTTATTTATTTATTTAATCAGCTAATGGATCCACGTCTTTATCGATAAAGTTGTATTATTTCAAAAGTCATAAGTTCGATTGGCGGAAAATTCCAAGGTGGAAGTAGTAGAATGTTCATATTATGCAAGTATTATTTTTTTTAATCAAAGGCCAAAATTATTTTATAATTTCATAATTTAAATGATTTTTTTTTTTAAATAATAAAATAATAGTAATACCATTTTTGCATTTGATGTAAGTAAATCTTTCAACAACAATTTTTCTGTTTTAAAGGAAGAAAATAAATAAAACCTAATAATTTTTCTCTTTGTTTAATTTCTTTATTTTCTTTATCTTCTCTGACTAAAAAGAGAGGAAATGATTAAAGATCATTTTGATTTTTATGAGGAACTGACGGGACCATACAAAATTAAAATGGTGGTTTACACAACAATAACTGCTTATATGCTAAGTACCATATTAACTGGTATTGGACTTTTATTGTTTGTAATATTCAAGGTATATATATTAACATATTTATATTTATAATAATTATATATTGAATATTGAATATATATCTAATAAAAATTTTCTAGTGTAATTTCTTTTTGGAGTTTTTCCCAAGGCACATTTATATTGGAACATCTGGTGGTATTGGTTGTTACTTGCTGAAAACTGCTATAAAATTTTCACTTCGACTGTCTGAAAAGTTTGATTTCGAAAAAAAAAATACCTCACATGAGAATAATTTTTTGTCATATGGTTTAGCTTTTGTTTTTGGATTCTGCCTCTTGATTATTATTAGATGCAAAACTAAAAACAATCATGTTCCGACCATCATCACTTTGAGTTTTCTATCAATTTTCTTGGGCTTCAACCTAGTGGTACATTTTTTGAACACTTCTCAGAAGTCCTTGATTAAGGATGGTTGGATATTCGATTTTCAAAAAAATCAAACCACAATACCCGAATTCTACTCTGATTTCAGTAAGTATGAGTATATAAATCTACTTACTAATTTATATATACAAATATAATAATAATATATTACAACTATTTGGTTTGACATTTTTAAATTATTAATATATCGATCATATAGATTTTGAATTAATTGATTGGGAGGCAATAGGAGAAACCATTCCAACAATGATTACCCTTGCATACTTTACGATATTGAGTGTTAATATAAATATTAGTAAATTGGAAGCTTCACTTGATGACCACCAAATTAACACAGATCGTGAACTGATTGTTCAAGGAGTTTCTAATTTAATTGCAGGAACTTTTCAAGGTTAGAATAGGATTATTATGTTTGTGAAAATCATATAATACCAATTATTAATAACACTAATAAATCATTATAGTTTCATTGAGATATGAAGAATCAATTTTATTGATTAAATCAGGAGTAAATAATCGTGTTGTGGGACTGATACTTGCATTTTGTATTGGTACAACAGTATATTTTGGAGAAATATTACAATTGATTGAACACGTTTATATTCCTACAATTGCTGTAGGCACAATAATCTTCTACTTGGGACTGGATATGATCCGAGAGGCATTGTTAGATTCATGGAAAATTTTCAATAAATTGGAATATTTGAATATTATAGCCACAATGGGTGCAATGACATTCATTGGATTTGTTGAAGGAATATATATAGGAATTGCAATTTCTTATATATCTTTCATGTTATCAAATTATCAAAATGTAGTGATTAGAACAACATTTTCGGGTAATTCAGATAGATCTTCTGTCAGGAGGCATTACAGAGACCATAAATTTCTTGAAAAACTTGGTAGTCAAATCTATGGAATGACATTACAAGGTTATGTGTTTTATGGAGCAATTAAAGGAGTTGAAGATAGTATAAAGAAAATTTTGATTGATTGTGAAAAGAAAGGAGATCCAATTAGATTCTTTATTTTGAATATGCTTTGTGTCACTGGATTTGATATTAATTCTATTCATGTGCTTGAAAGCATTCAAAAGCATCTTCAACATCAAAAAGTATATCTTGTAATCTGTGGAATAGCATATGAATCTCTGGAAGTTTGTATACCATTGAAGAATTTATCATTTTGGAATGATGTTACAAATGATTTTGTAAAGTTTTGTGATGAACCTAATGAGGCATTAGAATGGTGTGAGAATTTACTCTTGGGAACTTATTATGCTAAACACAGACCATTATACAGTGACAATCAACTTGGTAATTAGAAGTTAAACAATTTAAAGAATTTTTTATTATTTATTATTAATAATGATTTTTTTTTTAATATAATCAAAGTTGGAGTACAACATCATACCACATCATCTTTACTTAATGATGAGTCTTTTTGTAGTCGTCAAGTTGAAGATGCTGGAAAAAGCATATTTGAAAGTAAGTAAATTAATCAATTATTGTCATTAATTTTAATTTACACATATTATCCACCCATCAATTCACATTTATTTCATTATTTGTTTATTTTTTAGATGAACTTTGCCTTAAAAGTAAAAACAAACTTGTAAATATTTTGATGAAAGCATTCAAGGAAATTACAAATGAAAAAGAAGAATTTTTTAATTTGCTAGTTCCATATTTTAAAAAAGAAGAAGTACAAAAGGACTCACAACTGTGGTCAAAAGGTGATAATCCACATTGTATATATGTAGTGGAGGAAGGACAATTGAGCACATGGATTTCAGCAGAAAACAACAAAAAAAATGTAATTGAGAGAATCTTACCACTTACCATGGTAGGTGAATTAGGTTTTTTCACTGATAATCAGCGACAAAAAAATTTGGTGACAAATACTCTATGTGTTCTATGGAAAATGGATCAAGCTTCTTATTTAAGTATGATGAAATCTAATC